CAATATCCATTTAATGGTGACGTCATCCATGCGTCGTCCTCCAATAGATCATAAGTAAGAACCAATCAGAAGGTGTGTATTATCCAGGTTATCGAAGAAAGGGGAATATCCAGTTGCCAAACTGACATACCAGTTGCGCAGCGCACGTCTCATATCAGATCTATGTTGTGGTCTGTGTCCGAAAGGGACAAATTGTAATTAAAAGTACAGGGTATAAACCAGTTAGTATATCTTCGAGCTTGCAGCGGACTGGAAGATTTTCTTGCAACTCGTGGGAATACGTATTACTTCAACTACACTCCATGGCCGGGTTGTTCGAAAGGGGGTTAACGTTAATCTAGGATTAGAAGTTAACCTTGGCTTCAATATCTCTTGGAGAAAAGCGCGTTTAAGGGCAAAGGAAGTTGTTGGGCCCTCTCTCAATATGAATCTAAACCGACCGAAAACATACAATTGAAAAATCCTTTTGCAGAGCCGCTATAAAACTGAATTTAAAATTTTACACTAATCCCGGAGAATGTTAACCGCGGTTTGAACAACCCGGCCCATATGTAATTCAAGTTTTCCCTGCTTATGGCGGCAACAAATATTCGGTGCCCTTGCATGCAAGTGATTGTAAAACTCGGCTACGTTTCATGTAGAATTTCCATACTTGCATTAATTGTTGTGCTATCCCGTTTATCCTTGAAAACGCGCTAAAGTTGCCAATAATTTGTAAAAAAAAAAAAATAATTGAGGAAACTTCGAGAAAGAAGGCTTAAAATGAAAAATAAATAATCACAATAACCGGCTTTCGGAGCCAATGAGCTAATAAAAGAGTATGGCACCATACCGGTTTATTTATCCTGCTGGTGACGCACGTGAGAGGAAATCTCATCGCTCTTTTGCTGATAACCAGGCAAAACAGGTTTATTCATTAATAATAACATGTTTTCTATTGAGACAAATTCTGGCTGGTTGCCAAGTCTCTCTTAGAAAGGAATTATGGCAAAATTTCAAACGACGGCCATTCAGGAACCGCAAAACATCACACCACCCGCAAAATTACCAAATCGCAAGACAAGACTCGTGTTGACGTAAGCAGATGTCAAAATATTGGCTATTTTTCTTGGCAACATACACGAGAAAAACACTTCAATAAATGGAATAGAAGTGCATGACTACCAACCATGTTATGAAGAGTTTCGCTTTACCTACTTGCCACACGTTTGGAGCTGAGACTGAGTGCTGTCACGGTTTTTGCGTACTTAAATACTTAAATGCATTCGTATCTCTCAAAGGAACAGAGGGAAAGTTATCTGAGAGAGCTCTTTTACTCGTCCTTTAGCGATAGAAGAGCGAGTGTAGCTACGAGGAATGAAGAAATTCAGTGCCTTGGTAAACATTTGAGGAAGCTCTACAATCTGGTGGAAAATGGCAAAGGACTTTCTGCAGAGGCAGAATGCATTCTTAAAGAAGTCATCAAGCTCCGTACGAAGGGCAAACCTGGTTTCTACGAAACAAAAATGATGACTGACTACAAAAGGCTCTTGCTCTTTCGCGGACAGCGAGAGGACATGGAGAGAAATATTCAAGAACAGCAGTGTTTCCAGTGTATCCACAACAACAAGAAGCCTTTAGCTGATTTACATGATGACGATTGGTATTGGGGAACGAAACAACAGTTGAGATGTGGAGAGATCATTGCAGACACGCTTGGTGGCCTTGACCCAGTGTTCGGTGTTCTTTTGCATCCTACAGGTTCGTATGGAACTATTTTGTTTCATTCTCTATAGGGACACGCCCCCTTCTATCTGCAATTTCTTTCGAGCTTATACTGAGACAGTAACCCTTCATGTTTGCTTCTTTAATCAGGAAATTTTTTTTCACGGGTTATTTCCCACCAAGAAAATCTGTATCCCTGGAAAACCTTTTACAACCCATTGATAAATAAAAAATGGTCTCCATGCTTGTATATTTGTGCGTGGAAATTATCTGTTCAGAGAAGCGAACAAAACTGTGTGGAACAGATAATAATCAAGGACAAACACACAAGAACACTTTCGCGCCAAATGCAGGCTTCTGTATTTATCATCCTTCAAATATATTTCTGCAGTGCGCGGGATCATCGTTTCTGCGTTCTTTAGCAACAATTTTAAAAGTGAAATTTCCCAGAGCGAAGATTTTTTTTGAAATGGATAATGGGGCAGCACAATTCTTATAACCACCGAAAATAACGATAGAATTTTTCAAGTCTGAAAGCAAACCTGGCCTTGAGTAAAGGTAAAAGTAGAAACGACCCCTCTGATCAACGACAGGTTTTGATCCCCTCAAGAATAACTACCCTCACATAAGCATGAAACAGCAGAAATAACAGATGAAATAAACTTGATTTGGCTCAGAGATATGCTTGCATAAGAAGCAACATACAAAGTTGTATACATTGCTGTTAACTGCAACTATAAGACGTGAGTAACTTACTCAGAGCGCATGAAACTTTTTCTTTATCTTTGACGATACCACCTTTGAGAAGTAACCATCATGTTTTCTGTTTTTAGTCACATAACGGAAGCGCCCTCTTAGTGATAGCAACAAGAAATCCGGGAAAATTCAATAGTATCAAGGAACTTTTTTACATGCCGTCTTTCAGAAAGAGCTACATGGGGTCTAGTTTAGTTTATATAACTTTACCAGGGGCCGGTGCCCATAACTCAAAAAATACCACCTACTCACTTGATTTACCCACCGTTTTTATCCCTGATTTACCTAATTTAAATCAGGGGATGAAGAAAATAAGACAAACAGTGGTGATAAACATTGTTTTCCAATGCATTTTATATAGAACTTGACGCTTCGTATGCTAGTCAACATACATTTTCAAAAGTGAACCGTTACAATTGGTGAATTAAAACCATCTAGTGAATGTAAGAGGTCTGGAACCTAGACTGAAACAAAAAGAATCTACAGCAGTACATGTTTAGACTAATGAGAAGTACTGGCTAAAATAACAACTTCTCACTACTAACATTGACATTAAGGGAAGGCTTTAGCTCTTGAATGAACAAAGTCTCTTTAATTTTACAATGAAAGTCAGTTTTTCCCGACGCTAAAATGTCAAAATGATCCCATTTAATGTTGTGACCAGTGGTCTTCACGTGATCAGCAGTGGCTGATGAATGGTCACTTTTAGCTAGTGCCTTAAAATCTTCTGTTTTCCTGTCATGGAGTCTTCGTTTTGTTTTGCCAATGTAGAACTCATCACAATTCCTGCAAACAGCTTTATAGATAACCTTGGACCTTTGAGATCGGTTCAAACTATCTTCGTAAGGAAAAAAGGATTTTATGCGGCGTGTGTTTTGGAATTTTATCTTGAGATTGACGAAAGAGTAGAAATTGTAAACGCAGGATTTTTGTTTTATTTTCTTCATCAAGCTACGATGGCCTAAGAACAAGAGTTTATATAGATCGGGAATATTAAATTTTTTTCTGTGCCTTTCAGGAGGAAGATCAGAACTCGCAAACCCAAACAACAAACATTATCGAATCACAGGAAAAGAGAAAGAAGAAATAGACGCCATTCTGTATCACACTGCAACTCATGACGCCTGTGGCTACCTGAGCGAGTATCATTATGTTGGGCCTGGATACAACTACCTCGGTACCATGCTAACCGTCTTTCCGACATGCATTCCGCAGAGCGGAAGGCTGGCTTCCCTTATGTTCTGGAAAAAGTTGATAAATGAACCGGACACCCCGTTTGAGTATTGAAAAGAGTCCTATCCATTTTGCATGATCACTGAACATACATTCCAGAGTACTCTCCTTGGCAGCTGTTGTTTGAGATGACATACAACATCCCCTCCGGAAATAGGTGAATTTAGCGCGAGGTGTCCTGTAGGATTGGCCGAAATGGAGAAAGGAACGAGGTTCGGATGGAGCAGCCGTTTCTTGATTTGAGGAACATCCTAAACAAAGGCTTCAGAGGAGGCTAGTTCTCAGTAGTGAGACTATGATTCATTGTAGCAATGATATGGAGATACTTTTGATTGAATGTCAAAAGTTGTGTGTTACGACTAGGCCGTGAAAACTCGTGTTTTCCTCGCCATGAGGTTATTAACATGCGTTTACTTTGAGTTTTCGATGACCTTTCGAAGCAATTTCTTTTGTTCTAATTGATCAATGGGATTGATTTGGTTTTGCTTTTCCCGCTCTCAAATGAAAAGGGTTTTGATTGTATAAGAATTAGATCGCCTTGTACACACTTATGCTGTAATGGATGTTTGGGTTGCTTGCTAATTCAGCAATTTTTCGGGGTCCGTCTATAGTGGTGGCTTTACAAACTGGCCTTTCGGGATTTTCCAGGAGTCCGTTGTCAGTTGGTTATGATCAGTTGAATGCCCTTATTTTTAACCAATCAAAAGAACATGATTTATTACAGAGTATTTCGGGTAGCATGAATAGCTTGAGAGCGCTCATGAAGTCGTAGACGTCGTTTTTTTCGGCGGTTTACAGGCGAGCTGAGGAAGCGCGACGTGAGCGCGAAGGAGCATAAGAATGACTCTGGTTTACATATCATTGTTCGCACCGCTCCTGCGTTGTTTTCTGCGCTACTCTTCTCTCACTTGACCTACGCTAGCGAGCTTTCCTCGTTCTTGTGTCCGCTTGACTAACATAATATAAAACAAAATTACGTCTCTTCTGCTCGCGAATGGAGGAGGGGATGGGGAGTAACGGTTTCTTTTTAATTAATCTTCTTACACATTGATTTTTTGAAACTTAACGTTGACGCTAGAACGAAACAAATGATGGGGGGTGGGCGATCTTTTTAGTTGCAAAGCCTCATAATGAAGGCGAAAGAAGTTGAAAGGTTGGTTTGATAAAAATATTCAACCCAACGGCTTTTTTATAAGAGGACATATCTTCTGATCAGCTCTTGATCTGACTGGTCCCGACTAGGTTATAATGATTGTATTTCTTATTTTGTCGAATGACAATGTCAGTCAATGCTTAGAATTTAAGCGTAGGATATGTATCAAATAGATATTGAATACGGTTGTAATTTTCAGAGATCAAATTGATCGCTTGCTGATCTAGGATTATGGAATGAAAGGAAAGTGAAATGATTTATTTTAACATTTGACGTATGCCTTGAGTCTGATATTTAAGATATGGGGTATTAATTTTGGTACAGGTTCTATAAGATGATTTGCTCCCGATATGGTGATGGAGGGTGGGGATGGTGGTGGAGGGTGGGGATGGTGGTGGCATTTGACAGAAATTTACGTGGAATGTACTGCCACCGTTTTTAAACTCTCACCCTGTTGAAGAAATCCTTTTCCCTTTCTGGTCCGGGTTGTTCAAAGCTATGTTAAGATACCCAGGGGCCAGGGATAGTGTGAAACTTGATTTCAGATATGAAAGCTTTAAAAGAAAATTCAGTTCAATTCCATTTGTCTGCAATTTGATCTTTGAATGCGCTAAAAAGAATTGGGTAAATTATCCCAAAGCGGTTTTTGAACAGAGAAATCTAGGAACCTGGATTAAAATCAACCCCTGGGTTAGCGGCTTAACGCTAATGGACCTTCGAACAACTGTCAGTCTGGTGGCTAAGGAAGTGGCTGTCCCCCCGGAGATCGACTGTGCATCATAGGAAGTATCATAAGACAAACTATTGAAGATGCCCTGATCTTAAGCGCTATAAAATTTCGTATTAAATGAAATTGCTCCACACCCTGGGTACTGGTACCCTACACGGAGTTGCTTAGCGGGACACAAGGAGGGTAATCTTGTGCCCATCAACCCAGTAGAGCTAGTACCCAGTTTTCTGAGTTTTTAAGGACCGGCCTCAGAGCTGAGATACGTTGTTGTTGTCTGTGGTGGTTGAAATCAGCTGTGAGGCCTTTCGTTATTGATAACTTATGAAAGTCAGATCGGATTCTCTAATCGCCTTCTATTAGGAATGCCAGTTCAAAACGATATGCCGCCGCCAGCGGGTTATGGACTGGGGAATGCCGTATGTGCCGTTTGTCAAGAAAGTTTTGGGGTTGACGAGCGAATGGTAAATTCCAATGGTCAAATTCTACACGAACGCTGTTTTGTGTAAGTCTTTAATTTCTTTATTTGTGAAACTGAGATAAATAATCAATTGACACCGTTGTCTTTATAAGTTTTCTCTTATTTTTTGGAAAGACGACGTGATTCGTAGATATGTACATACAACAGACAATTTAATCTACGGGTGTCTACCTGACGAAAGAAAGCTCATTTCAACTTTTAGTTCCGATTTCTCTTATTGAGTTTGACTTTCGAGCCATTTTAGACCGTGTGACCCTTAAAATTGCTTGGGGAAATTTCTTTTAATCAGTATACTGGTACATTATTTCCTCAAGCAAGTTTGTGTTAGATTTGTTAGTGTATTTAATCTGAAGGCTGCCTTAAAAAATTACAAGAATTTACCCCACCTTTGTTCACGATCGAAAGTCATGTCCGCCGAGAAGTCAGGTGGGAATTCAAGGGAAACTAAATGGAAAATTGCCGGGGAGGCTGAGTGTGGGTGACTACTCAATCAGTGTAACCTCACTTGTCGTATGAAAATTCAAATCTCAGTGGGTACTCTGTTTGGTGTTTGGCATAATTCTACACAGTCGGGTAGTGACTCTGAAATTCCAAAACTTTCTTTTTCTTGAATTCGTTTAAATGTTTTTTTAGGGAGGTAAAATATATTGTCCTTGTTTACTGTACATGAGTTGGGCCCCAAACAGTGTACAAACACCTCCAAATTTGACAAATCACTTATGAACTGTCAGACTAACTTAGTAATGTAAGTGTGATACTTGTAGTCTATTAAGGATATATTTTTTTTCACTTTCATTCATTGCATACAATCTGTTTAGGACGTAAGTATGAGATTTTAAAACAGGTTAAAGCCATGCAAATGCATTTAGTTTTAAACAAACAAAATTCTTATCCAATTTTGCCCAAGTGGCTACCAATTTAAAAACAATAAAATTCTCTAGCAGTGACTGTGGCAAAAATAAAATTAAAGTATAAATTTTTAAATCATTTACAAGAAGGATAGCCTGGTAGATATGTTAGCCATAATGTGTGGTCTACACATTCTGTATCAGAGCAATAGTTAAAAAATTAATTATTGTTACTTTGTGACTGGAAATGGTTGACTTAATACATGCATACAAAATAACGTACTCTCAACAACAGTTAGAATCAGTGTTTGCCAGCTTCGCTAAATGTAACTTTTTACTTTTTGTTTTGTTTTACTAGTTGTGTGCAATGCTTCCAGCCATTTCCTGATGGCTTGTTTTACGAGGCAAGTTTTTGCTATTTGCTTTTTGTATTGAAGGGAATACATTCACCCCTGGCTTGAAAACGAAACTCAGAAATAAATATTTTGAGCAAGTATAGGGTTGATGTTTGCTAAGAGGTTAAGCCTTTGACTGTTAAGAAGCACTAGCATCTTACTTCTACTCTATGATATCACCCCTGAATCACACATTATGGTCACGAGTCAGAATGAAGGAGGTGGTCGGCAACTAAAGACTCTCCAGATTGCTTGACAAATTCTCCTTGTCTGCAGCTTAGGAAATGGATGGAGAATAGTATGGAGAATATGCATGCTGATATTGGGGTGGAAAGAGTTGAAGAAGCTTATCAAAAGTTAAAAAACACAACTTGCATCCACAACCTCCAGCTATGTAGGATTGCCACATGAGGGGATGCAAATCGGCTGCACTGGAAATTCATATCAAACTCCCTAGGCGATTTACTCCCATTAAATATGTGGTTTTAATGTCAACGTTTGCATGGTTAATATCCTTAGTGCCCCTTTCAGTTGGATCTGGACAATGTTTGTTTTTGGATCTGGACAATGTTCGGTTTTTTTTTCCCAGATTGCTTTGTTGTGAATGTAGTTTTCTTAGGTATTAATTTTTTCCCCAAAAATGGCGCCAAGGAATGGTTTTTCGACCTTCTCTCGCTTCGTCAGTGATGCATTAAGCGAGCATAGTTACTGGTATGTCCTCACAACAGAAGTTTGTGGAATTACTCCTCTGCAATATTTCAAGCAATCGCCGATCGTGACAAGGCAGAACTTCAGTATCAGTGTGCAGAGCCAGATTACCTGCTTTCTTCTGCTGACGCTTTTGCTTTCTCCATTCTATGTTTTGTTTTCGTTTCTCCTCGGGAGTATTTTTTCATGATTTTACCTCCCGTTTATATAAGGTATTTCCAGCTTAGTGGAGGCCTCAAGGTCTGCCGACATTTTATTAATGTATTCCCAAGCAAGAAGAGTGAATTAGTTGAACACGTGCTCTTACATCTGATCTCATAATTTATAAAAACTTCATTGTTCTTGCGAAAAATGAGAGCCGTCTTATTGAAACTTGATAAAAAGTATAAGCTGGCAAAGAAAACACTGTAAAAGCAATTATCTGTCACATAGATGTCAGCAGCAACAAGATTATGACACCTTACAGGAAAGCTGCCTGGAGTGCTCAAAAAGTCCCATACATTTTCTTAGACTTTCAGTCTAAGAAAATGTATGGGACTTTCCGGGATACTTCCAGTGCAGACAATTTGAGTCCCCTCATGTTGGCATGTTCGGACAATTGTTAAGGGTTGTGGGAAAAAAAAGTTAGACCTGGAGTTTGCATTTAGCCACCAGACTTTCTACAACTTGTACAAAGACTGTCTGTTCATATATGAATGTAAAGCTGCCAGTAAGAGGAAATTTGAGGCATTCTGTAGATCTGAAATCATGGACTATGTTTTGTATTTTTAGTATGATGAACGAAGATATTGTGAAGAAGACTTCCAGACTTTGTTTGCTCCTTGTTGCAAACAGTGTGGTAAGGGTGCCAAACATTTGTTGAACAACTTTTTAAAATTATTCAAGGACCAATTTCCAACTGCATGAGGTAGAGTCTGCATACAGTTGCCAAGAGGCCTACACCACCAGAGTTTTTTCTCCAGTGTCTACAGTGTGAGGCAACAAGGAGTAAAATGCTGCTTCTCCGAGATAAGATACTTGTCAAAATCTTGTCACCCCAGAATTCTGTTAAGTGAGAAACACTGTGGCCTCACAGTTAGTGTGCCAGACTTATGGTCCGGAAGTATAAATTTATAAAATCTGCCCTGTGAACTGGTTACTCCCATGGATGGTTAGTTTGTAAATAACCTTTTATTTCATACATACTGAGATTTTCACTGTGAAGTACAGTACTATCGTTTGTGTCTCTGATTGGAAGAACTATGTTCTTTCACAGTCATTGGCTCTCAGTCTTTGAAATGGGTCGGTCAGTGGGAAAAATCCTAGAATGTATTAATTAAAATGAAAACATCACATCTTGGAAAGTGCTTGAAAGATTTTTATTCACTCACTGTGATGCATCAAAATACACACTCATTTGCTGCACTCACATGTTCATGTATGAAAATTGTTCGTGTGCACTTTTCATGGAACAATCTCCATATATTCAAAGTACACCATCAAGCAGGAGAGCAATGAGATTGAAAAAGACTTCCTGTTAGATGATGATGTTTGGATATTCAACCAAATTCTCAAGAATATCCTTCAAAGCTTAGTATGTCTATCAGTTTGGAGAATCTAACTTTCAGTTTTTAGAGGTGATGGGGTGAAAGTTTTAGACTCGGTTACGGTTTGAATGGCCTTACATTTAGATTTCTTCTTTAGGTAAGTTTGTGGTTGGACGTGTTATAAAGGCAATGCAAGCTAATTGGCATCCTGATTGCTTCCGTTGTGAAATCTGTAATGATGGACTGGCAGACTCTGGCTTTGTCAAGAATGCAGGCAGGTGAGTTTGAACAGTGTGAATATTTCTCACTCATCAATTTAACCCTTAAACTCCCAGAAGTGATAAATGTGTAACTTCTCCCTATAATATTCACACATCATTCAAAAAACAGTAATGAGAATTCTCAAACTTATCATGTAGAAGATGTTGTCATGGTCTAATAACAAATTCTCATAACTACTTTTCAAGGCAATGTTTAGCAGCTAGAGGGGTGAATTGACAATCAGATTTAGGAAGTTTTAAGAGGATTTTATGGGCCATGTTGTTATTCTGAAACATAGAAGTTCATCAATAAAGAATGTAAAAAAATTGCAAATCCTTTTAATCAAAAAATGCCTTTTCAAGGCATTTTCAAGAAACTGTGAATGAAAACAATGATTTTTGTACATGTCATTTTTAAAAAGTAAGGCTAAAATCAACCAAACAAATTATGGAACAGTCTTTCTTTTGGTTGGTTCTGGTAGCAAAACATGTCAGTGTGCTACAAAGTAGCTTAACACCTCAACATCAGTAAGCAAATTTTCACTACTGTTCTCTATACATTTCCTATGATACTTACAAGGAGAATTTGTCAAAGGGTCAAGAGATTCTTGAGTCTGCAATCATTTTATTTATTCTCACGACCTTAATGTTTGATTCAGGGGTGAGACTGTCGGGAGAAAGTAGATGCTTATCATTCTTAAAGGTTAAGGATTAAATTTTCAATTTATGTCAAGGCAATATTATTTCTCTACTGTAGGGCACTATGCAAGAAATGTAATGCAGATGAAAAGACTAAGAGTAAGAAAATTATGATTCTTTTTCAATCGCGTAATGGTGTGCATTTTGTTGTACATGTTTAACAATTTTGCCTCAGTAGAAGATCATAATTATACTTGGGCTAATCTCCTTTGACCTCCCTTGAAAACTTGAGTAGACTTTATTCGCAGGGTATTTTGTTATGGTCTTGTGGTGCAGTTACCATTTGTGGTAATCACATGGGCATGCATTAAAAAAAATAAAAGACATGCTTGAGTTACGGCAATGTTGTTTGGATATTTTGTAGGTTCTCTTAATTGTCAGTACATGATAGTATTGTTCAAAGTTAGTATATTTGAAGAATACTTCTGATGAAATTTGTTGTTAGTGTGAACTAATTTTGTCTTTCATTGAAATTGCTTTGTTATAAGTTACTTATAAAGAAAAAAATTATTTTCTCCAGAAACGGGACGATATGTGTGTCGCAAGTGTCAGTAAGTATCATGTGCATTACTGATAAATGGTTTTCTCATCCACTGTGTTTCTGTATTTCTTTTGTGCCTGTGTGTACTTGGAACTGAGAGATATCATTAGTGTATTTTATACACTTCTCAACTGTTTCTTTGGTTGATAGTACTTACATTCCCGAGGGACAGCATCTGATGTACATGGGTGAGCCTGTTCATCCATGGCATTACAACTGCTTCTCGTGCAAGTAAGATAATGATTTTCTTGTTTTTTTCTCTTGTTTGTTTGATTTTTTTTTTTACACTTAAACATTTTCAACGGTGCTTTGAAAGTAATTCACAAGTGCTTTAGTTTTGCTTTACATCATGCCATTAATTGTGCCATTCTCTCAACCAAACAAATTCAAAACTAAAATCAGATTATTTTTAGACATTAATAAGTTAGAGGTAACCACAGGAGTTAAATTTTTTACCCATTACCAACTGAAAAGGAGAACACTGGTGCCTTACTCTAAATGATGGAGTTTGGTGTGGGCCATGAGTTAGATGATGTTTAGTCTTCAAAGTTAGAATTCAAAGAATCATAAATCATTTAGTATGACACTTCAGGGGTGCACTGTAAATGAAGAAACACCTTTGAAAAGCTTCTTTTCAAATGGTGTGTTGGTTTTAGTTTCTCACATAATTTCTCAATGATCTTGTTAGTAAAGAGCTGGACCATCTATGTCGCAAGCGAGACACAGAGTTGTATTGTTTAAGATGCCATGATAAAATGGGGACACCGATCTGTGGTGCTTGTAGGTGAGTGCACATGAAATACAAGTCACGTTTATGTTAATTTTCAATTTTAGAATAATTGTCCACTTACAGGCAAAGATCAAGAGTTGTTCTTCCATAGTAATGCATTTTACCATATCAGGATATCGGAACACCAAAATTATTCCAAAGAATTACCCAGTAGAACAGGGCTAAAATACAGACAGAAAGCAGAGCAACAAAATTGCTGCACAGAATGACCCAAACAACCTTACACATTCCCTTGTAATAAAGTTACATATTGTTATTGTCAGATCAAGATAGTAACTTTTAGCCAAGTATTACCTTTACTTGTTTGCAAGATAATGTATGGACATTATATGGAAAAATTTACATGTTAATCACTTCTGGAGTCAAATGGTTAACTACTGAAGATATGAAAAAGATAACTGAAATATCTATTGGTAACACATTTCTTCATCTCAGGCGACCTGTTGAAGAGCGTGTGGTACATGCCCTCGGAAAAGCTTGGCATGTAGAGGTAAACAAATTAGACATAAGACTTTCTGCCTTATGATCAAGTGATTATAATTATTCCAGCTATATCACTTGGATATTTCCTGGTATTAACCCAGGAGCTTATTTGGTCAGAGAGCAAATCAGTTCCTGGGTGGTGTTTGTTTGTTAGTTAGTCCAATTTTTTCTGGAACAGTAAAGTTTTGAGAGAGAAGGTGAAACTTGAGGATGTTAAATGTGAAATATTGTTTGTTTTAAACAGCACTTTGTATGTGCCAAGTGTGAGAAGCCTTTCTATGGACATCGTTACTATGAAAGGAAGGGACTGGCCTACTGCGAGACTCACTATAATGAGGTGAAGTACAAAATAATTGTAATCACATTTTGTCATTTAAACATGCATTCACCTCACTTGCTCTCAGTCAGTGCAGTTTTTTAAGTGCCCTTTTTCATTACTTTTCATAAATAAAAACATTTATTTCTACACGATGAAATTACAGCATAGCTGATATCGTCATGTCGAAGTCAAGTCTAAGGAAAAAAGGAATTTACAGTAACTGTTGTAGTTTTTTAAGATTCTATCCGTATTAGACACTGATAATAAATTCAGAAGGAATTTACTCAATTAATCATTTTAAATTGTCCAACAAGCTGTTCATTCTCACTTCATTTCAACTTGTTAAGTTGTTAAACAGACATAGTAACCTAGTGATAGTATGAGATGTAGATTTGATTTTCCTGTCTCTTTTTACAGTTGTTTGGTGATGTATGCTTCGAATGCAACAAAGCTATTGTTGGAGATGGTAAGGAACAATAACAACAATATTAACAAGGATAATAACAATAATGATAATAGAAATAATTACTATCATGATTTTACCGTTATTGTGATAGGTTCTTTTGACAAATATTTAAGTTGGCCTCAGACTGAATTAAACAAAATCCTACCATTCATGCAAGTTCTAGTAACAGTATTGGTATCACAGGATGAAAGAGAGAAAAAGACAGAAACAAAATGCATTTGAGATTTGGGGAATTCTGTAACTCTCTCACTGACAACAGTTCTGCTCTGAAATTAGGTTGTTGTTACAACCATTGTAGTTGGGTTATTGAGGTGGTAAAAGTGATGAACAGACTTTCAACTTAAACCTTATGCTTTCACACCTGTGTTGTTTGCAGAACAAAAAATTTGCTCTTGTGCCAGCTAACACAAACCAATCAGAATGAACTGTTCAATGCAGTGTATCTTTTTTTTCAAAGTACTTAATAAATAATTCATGTATTATCTTTTTTTCATGTGCAGTGGTGAATGCCCTTCACAAGTGCTGGTGTGTTCAGCATTTCACTTGCATTGGATGCAACATCTCTTTAAATCTCAAGTGAGTCATGACTGTTTTTTTTTTTGCATGGCTGGACTAAAATTTTGTTCCAAATGCCTCTCTCTGTCTCTTCTCAACTCTTCTTGCATCACTGATGCATATCACTGTTTGAATTTTGAGTAAAGAAGCAGCAAGAAATCTTACATAATTTCAAGAGAGATGGCATTGCTTGCTTAAACTTACCCATTTTTGACATGCTCAGATAATCCTTTTTTCTTGGCAGGAGCAAATTTCATGAATTTGACATGCAGCCACTGTGCAAGAAGTGCTATGAGAAGATGCCTCTTGAGCTTAAAAAGAGATTGAAGAAAGCAGAGCAAACAGCCAGTAGAAAGTAGCAGCCTGAAGACTGAACGCTTTTGTGTCCTAGCTATTTCATTATATGTGTACTTGCCAGTAGTGTCAAAGAAGGTCAAACCTGCAGACCACTTTATGACACCTGGCAGAATAATTTGAGCTATTACAAACAAACTAAACCCTATAACTCTCATCAGTGACCAAGACACAGTTTCTCGTTACAATATCATTACAATATCAAGCAGACAAATGACAAGAATAAAAAAAAATATCATTTGGGAGATTATGAGGTTATCCAATGCCAAATTCTCCAAACTAACACCACAAGAATTGCGTGACAGGCAGTGAGGAGAAATACTAATAAGATCTAGGGAGAGAATGGGTTAAATGACTCGAGCTAAAAAGTAAAAACATAAAATAAAAGGATCTCAATTGTGTAAGCACACTTGTTATGAAAGGGATGACATTGAAGATATTGTATAAGCTCTTTAGGATGCCTTGGTCTTATTTGGAAATTATTTGTTGTCTTTGGAAATAAAGGTCCTCTACCAAAAATAAAAGGAAGGAAATTGAAAGAAACAAAGATACGATCCCTCTTTCTACAAACTACTGATTTTTATGGATGGGATGGTGTTGAGAAGGTTTCATGAACACCTAAGGTTGCTTTAGTCTTATTCAGAACTTGTTAAGAAATGTTTGGTCATCTTTGATCATGACTGGGACTGGGTCCTCTTCCAATTATCCCTACATCCTCAATATCTTACACCTTTAACTTGAACAAAGTTGGCAGATTTTTTTTTCTGTACAGTTGTTTTCTATTGTGATGCAGATTTTCAGTCTCAGAAATAAACATTCATTGTTGGGTGAAGTTGGTTGTAACTAGTCATCGGTAGTTGGAGGGTTCAACAGTATTTCATGGTAATCAAGTAAAAGATTTGGAATAAATAGCAAATAAGGCAAGGATTCTTTCATCTTCAACAGTTTGACAGACATTTGTCTAACTGGACTTTCCTTTTTGTTTATAAAAAAAAATGTGGATCTAATGGATGAGTGCTATGGTCACTTCTTTTGTCTCATGCATTGTCATTCATGTTTCAACCGAAGAATGAGTGCATTGAGCAACATGCAGAAAGGAAGGCTACAAAGACAAATGCTGACTGAGCATTGTGTCAAATGTGCACCATGTTTAGTGGAGCCTACATGTCTTGCTTTGGCAGCCAAGGCAGGCTTTTATTTATCTAGTTTTCATTTTTGAATCAGACTATGAGGAAAGTCTTAAAAGTTTCATTAGTAATTTTTAATAACCTATCCTTTAACCTTTTTTGAATTAGGTAGTCTCAATCCTTGGATTTTAGTGCCTAGGACATTTCATGTTCAGGAAATTTAACTATGTTCATATAAAGGGTTTTAGTGTTGAGGAAAAGGTGGTTAGCAACCCCTTAGCAACAAAAAGTGACAGGCACCCAATTTCACATCTTCTGGACACAAGAATAAAGGATGTGATCACCAGCTCTAGTAACTTTCAAGGAAGACAGGCATGTGAACATTAAAAGGACACTTCTTTCTTGTTTTTCCCATAATGCATTGGTGTTTACCATCTTTCCTCTATATCAAATAAAGTGTAACTTGCATTTCAAATTAGTATCCCTGGACCACAGAATGCCCTATGTCAGACATATTTCCTTATTCCAAAGGAATAAGAAGTCACTGTTTCGGTCATTCCTTGTTACAAATTTGATCTTGAGTTACAAGTAGCATGATTTATTCCAGAAGTGATGGGTTTTTAAGGGCTAATTAGAGGTGTAGAACCTAACCAGAAATGGACACACAGCACTCAAGAAACAGCTACAGAAAATACAAATTATCCCGAATTGTCAATTTTACAGGGACCCAAAAAATAAGCACTGTTTGTCAAGAACAAAAATCTTTTATTCTTTGGCTCTTTAGCGATCAAGATACATTGTGTAATGAAAATTACTGTTACTAAGAAATCAGCAACAAACGGCAACTCAAACAGCTACAACTCAACTGGTTCAATTTTTAACAGTATAGGCTAGTACATGTATCTTTGTCAACAAAGTTGAAAGGGCAAGTTCATGAACTTAATCTACTTCCTCGATGGTAGGACCTGAGGATTCTTGCTGTGATCCAGCAGGTCCTCCAGGGAAGCCGCCAGGCATTCCACCGCCAGGCATTCCACCACCGGGCATTCCACCAGGTGCTCCACCTGGCATTCCACCAGGTGCTCCTCCTGCACCCTGGTACAGCTTGGTAATGATGGGATTGCACACCTTCTCAAGCTCCTTCTGCTTGCTTTCAAACTCTTCCTTTGGTGCTCCTTCACTTTGATCCAACCAGTCAATGATTTCTTTGCATTTATCTGAGATGAGTGTTTTGTCGTCTTCACTAATCTTGTCTTTAACTTTCTCATCTTCAATTGTACTCTTCATGTTGTAGGCATAACTCTCCAAAGAGTTCCTGGCTTGAATTTTGTCGCGCTGCTTGTCATCATCCTCTTTAAACTTCTCAGCATCTTTCACCATACGCTCAATGTCTTCTTTGGACAATCGACCTTTGTCATTTGTGATGACAATCTTGTTTTCTTTTCCAGTGCTTTTGTCCACTGCAGAAACATTCATGATTCCATTGGCATCAACATCAAAAGTGACCTCAATTTGTGGAACACCACGAGGGGCAGGAGGAATACCTGTAAGCTCAAATTTTCCAAGTGGATGATTGTCTTTGGTCATGCTCCGTTCACCTTCATACACCTGGATCAAAACAGCAGGTTGGTTGTCTGCATATGTTGTGAAGACTTGACTTTTCTTTGTTGGAATTGTTGTGTTTCGTGGGATGAGGGCTGTCATAACACCACCAGCGGTCTCAATACCCAGAGACAAGGGAGCCACATCAAGAAGAAGTAGGTCTGACACAGCTTCACTCTTGTCTCCATGCAGGATGGCTGCCTGCACTGCAGCACCATAAGCTACAGCTTCATCAGGGTTGATGCTCTTGTTTAGCTCTTTGTTATCAAAGAAACTTCTAAGCAAATCCTGGATTTTGGGAATGCGAGTAGAGCCACCCACCAAGACAATCTCATGGATTTTATCTTTACTTAACTTGGCATCCTTCAAAGCCTTCTCAACAGGCTCTAAAGTTGCACGGAAAAGGTCCTCATTTTCTTTTTCAAACTTTGCACGGCTCATTGACGTGTAGAAATCAATTCCCTCAAAGAGAGAATCTATTTCAATACTAGCCTGATGACTCGAAGAAAGGGTCCTCTTGGCTCTTTCACAGGCAGTTCTCAAACGTCGCATGGCTCGCTTGTTGTTAGACATATCTTTCTTGTTTTTTCTATTGAATTCGTTCTTGAAGAAATCAACCATGCGGTTGTCAAAATCTTCACCTCCCAAGTGGGTATCACCATGGGTTGACTTCACTTCAAAGATGCCATCATCAATTGTAAGAACAGACACATCAAAGGTACCTCCACCAAGATCAAAGATGAGAACATGACACTCAGTGTTTTTGGCAGCATTCTTATCCAAACCATAGGCAATGGCTGCAGCAGTTGGTTCGTTGATTATGCGAAGGACATTGAGGCCAGCAATGATTCCTACAAAAGTTATTTCATGAAATAAATTTCAAACAAAAAAAGTTGGATGTATCATTTGTCGATGAGGAGAAATTTGAAGGCAACATTCACAGGCAGAATTTGCCAATTAAAAAATATAGATACAAAAAAATAAAGAAATAACATAACGTAAATGATAACCATGACAACAAAACAGTTAAGACACCACATTTTAACTGGTTCCTCAAAGCGCTAATAACGACATGCTTCGTGCCTATTTCTTGAAGCTCTTGCGGGAATTGAAGAAATTTTGTGTTATGCGTCATTCTTCAAAGCCTCCCGACATCTGTAAATGATGTGGACGGGTATTCTGAAGTTGCTCCAAATTCTATGCCGAAGATTGAATCACTCGGAATCTGACATGTTTTGGATAGTAAGAATTTAACTTAAAAACAAGTAATCATCGCTTTTAAAATCAACAACTAAGCCCTGTCAACGCAAGTTTCCTTATCCCTCTGATAAGATTTCGCGACGAAATTGTCTCCTCCATCGCCACAAGGGTGTGGGTGAGAAGAAAAAAACACGTGGAAGATGAACTTTGTACACGTTGGTGGAACAGATGGATATGCCGTTGCGTGTTAAAAGCTTACCGGCATCCTTCGTGGCTTGTCTCTGTGAATCATTGAAATATGCCGGAACAGTGACAACGGCATCGGTGACTTTAGTACCAAGATAAGCTTCTGCAGTTTCCTTCATTTTAGTCAGAACCATCGAGGAAATCTTAGGGAGAAATTAACAAAATCTGTGAACACCAAGAAGGCGCGAAGACGCTAGTCAGATTACGCAATACGGAAAAACCATCCCTTCATCAAAACTTTGATACGAATGAACGCGAGCTACGCTTACCTCTTCCGCAAAGAAGGTCTTTTTCTCGGATTTATATTCCACTTGAATCTTTGGTCGACCGCCATCATTGATTACCTGAAAGTGAAAGTAGAATCTATTACAAACGAGCCACATCCTGAAATACCACGGAAACTCCAGATTAATGTTTTACATATTCTAGTTTAGGCTACACGAAAGAATATTACTCACTGCGAAAGGCCAGTGTTTCATGTCAGATTGGACAGAACTCTCGTCATACTTTCGCCCAATGAGACGCTTAGCATCTGCAAGAACAGAAAAAAGTACTTCGTAAGCATATTGAAAACCAACATGGCGGACACAAAGAACTTACGTCTTTCAAGTTTTAAATCACGCATGCATTTCCACTTTCATCGTGAGAACTATTTTTCTCGCATGTTTTACTTTAAGCAAAAACACTAAAGAAAGTAAGAAAAACTCACCAAACACTGTATTCGAAGGGTTGAGGGCGACTTGATTCTTCGCGGCATCGCCGATGAGTCTTTCACTTTCATTAAAAGCGACGTAACTCGGAGTTGTTCTGTTACCCTGATCATTGGCTATAATTTCAACCTTTCCATGTTGCATAACACCAACACATGAATATGTTGTGCCAAGATCGATTCCTATTGCGGGGGTTCCAGGCATTTTCGGTTTATAAATTGAACTGAGAAGAAAGGCACTTTCTCTAGCTTGTACTTCGGTTTACGTGCTCCGTGAGACAACTAACACGCTCGTGTGCACGAGTTTTTATAACGGTCTGGCCTCGTTCTGAAACTTTCTAGAATATTCTGGAAAGTTCTTGACATTTCGTCATCTCTATTTATAGAAACTTCAAAAGAATGATTAGGCAAGTTTTTTTCCTTCAAAACAATTCCCTTTTCGAAGTTTCTGGAATAACAACTTTCGTCTACTTTTTATCTCTCTGCTTGATACATAAATAAAGATCGAATTCACAGAGACTTCGCAATTTCATTTTCGGTTGCTTTATAATTACTAACGATACAAACGTTTTATTCTATATTTTGATAAAGAGTGTAGGTAATTTGTTTAAAATTACGTTCTGGAGGTTTCTCGTGAACGGTCACGCGTCAATTGCAAGTTTATGTAATCGTTCAGAAGCTCAGCATAGGACTTGCGTGATCTCTGAAAAATCGCTTATGACCAAAAGAAAGGTTCGGTTGATACATTTAGTGATCTATTTGTTACAGAAATAGGTTGGTGGACAATTGAACGTGTTAACTTTTGTTTCACGATGCAGAGTCAGGCTATCAATAGGTGGTTTGCAACCAACCTCTAGAGACACAGGTAACAATGGTGAAAGGAACAAATTCTGGTGGTCGAACAATAGAAGCTAATGAGATATCTATTGTTCACGTCCACCAACATGGCGGCAATGACGTAACCTGCAAACCACCTATTGCATTGGACCGTTTGTTTCGTGTAGTCGGTGTGGTTCAGTATGAGTGACATAAAAGAACAAATCGATCGTTAATGAGGGTTGATGGTGCCCCTGACGATTCTTACATTAATTTTATTCTAACTGTTACTTTCACCGTTCTCCTTTGAGGTGTCACATTGTTATTTATATGTATGTAAACCATCATGACGAGCCGAAAGTGGCAATGATGCATATAATTTGATATTGCTTAATTGAATCGGCTTACTATATACCAATGAATAAAGGCTGATGGTTTCGAAAGAAACTGTTTGGGGCTGCGTCGGTGGGGGTAACGAAATAATTTGGATATATCAAAGGAAAGCAGACTGGTGATCTAAAAAAAAATAAAATTCACTTTGAAAAGTTATTTGAACACCAAATTCTCAGGAGAAGCATTATGTAAAATACATAGAATAGACAGTTATACATGGAATAGACAGTTATTGGAAGACGGTATAAGTATCTTGGTGATAATGATGAAAAAGACCGTACTCGAGAAAAATAAAGTTTACGACGAGTGGTTTGCAAGCTTTTCGTGGCAAGCTGAAATCAGGCTGAAACAAAGTGTTCTCTTTTGCTTTGGTTAACTAGTTAAATTTGTCTAAGTGTTTTTAAGAATTTAAAGATTCTTCGACCAATTAGAGCGATAGCGAGCAAACATGTAGTTTCTCACTATGTAACTTCTAGTTTACCCCGGGTGCTGAAAATTTTCGCTTCTTAGGATTTTTTGTTGCTCCCTCTGAGCAGATGATGTGATGACACAATCCTTTTTTTCTTGAAAAAAAAAAGCAGAATCAAAACTAAACAAAAAACAAACGATTTCCACACAAAGAAATGTACCCTCCCCTCCCTAACATGCTCGTAGGTCGCTCGTGGGCTACCCGATAAGTATGAATGACTAGTTCTCACATCTGTCACACAAAATGGTCCATTATGGCGGGCTGTCGCCTTACTGGGGGCTTTATTCGACGTAACCCTAAATTTCTTGCTTGTTTTCAAGTTGCTCGTCGTAAGGTTCAATCAAAAGCCGCGAGGAATCTCGTGGAACTGGAAACTGTGTACAATGAACGGAAATGCTTCATAAACGGTAAATTAATCTTTATTAAATCTCTGTTGGTTTATCAAAGAGTGGATGGTGTAAACACCGTTGTATTTTTAGCGTGTATTTGCACCCATGCCTGGAACATATAAGGTAAGAAAACTCCACAACTATCTCAGAGCAGAAATCTTTAGCTCGCTAATTAAGTGGAGTGTCTGGTTGATTCCAGGCCGTGTAAAATCTTGGCGCTACGTATAGTTATCAGCATGTTTATTATACATACAGCGGACAAATTCAACACCAGAAATGCTTTGGGAAAGATTTCCATATAACCCCACACATTAATTATGTAATCCATTTCATGAAGACTAAATATAAAGGTTTCTTTGCAACACTCTATGCATAATTGATGTATGGGGTTATATGGAAATCTTGCCATACTAATTTGCACCTTCAGTCTTTCACTCTTAAAGTGGGTATCCTTAAATAAAGGTGGAATTTTCTTATTTTGAGTTCCAGTAACAAGACCGTTCATGTCCTTATTCTGAGAGTGGATGGAATCTTGAAATAAGAACTCGGTATCTTAAAATAAGGACAGAGCCTTGTTTTGAGATTCAAGGTACAACCTTAGAACAAGGTTATGGTATTCTCAAAATGAGGATACCTCTATCATGCAGATCTAAAAATAAGTTTTAATTGGATCTTAAATAAGAGTATCGTTTTTTGAATCAAGTCATTCTAGTGAAACAAAATATAGACAACAGCATCTCAAAATAAGTTACTACCTTCTCAAAATAAGAATATCTTGACATATAGTCCAAATCTAAATAAGTTCTTTACCCAGTTAGGATGAAGAGCAGTAATGAAAGGGAACTCTAAGACTGAATCAAATCAACGGACCTTTATTGATTTTGTAGTTCAGTAACTGCCCTCTTTGATTTACATATAAGTTGACTTAAAAATAAAGGGTTCACAAATAAGAACAACACAACTCAGTACAAAATCAGGGTTGCGACTGATCAGAAACTAAAACATTCCTGACTTTTCCCTGACCGCTGAAAAAGTTTCACTAACCTCACATTGGCATTAAAAAGAACAACACATTGACCAAAACTAGTTCCTCCATTAGTTACTTGAATACTGTATCCAAACTTATCATTTGGCACAACGGTTTTAGCAAGAAAATAAAATTTCCTTACTTTTCACTGACTTCAACAAACAGACTGTACATGCTGAAGTAACAAAATCTAAAGTTAAGAAATGCTTGTCAATACTGAAATATGTATTGTGCACTACCAACCTTAAAGCATGGATTTTAAACTATACAGCTTGGTCACCATTGGTGGTGGCTGGTTCTACATGTAACTTAGCAAGAAGAGTGTTTTCCAGCTTTTTAAATGCATATGACTTCCTTCTGGGAATGTCACCAAGCACATGTTCATGAATGAACTTAAACATGGCTGTATGAAAATTGTTATACTTCAGATTGAATGCAAAATGTGCTGCAATTAAAGTTATTAAGGCTTTGCAGCTTAAGTGGGATTCACATTCTACCACGATTTCTTTGTCTACAACTATGAACCACTGATGTGGCACTGCGAATGCTTTTCGCATTCAGATGAGAAACTAGAAAAATGTTATCGGCACTTTCATGATTTCTTGTTTCTAGGGAATTGGTGTGAATTAAGTGTTGGAGATCATGATGAATACAACGATTCCTTGTCAGAAACTGAAGCTGTTGAGTCAACTGATGACACTACAAGTAACACTACATACCCACTTGTACAGGCACCAAGTGTTTCATGCTAACAGAATTAATGGTAGCTTATACATAGCAACAAAGGAAAATTATTTTGCTTCTGCTTAACCCTTTCACTTTGTGAATTAAAGTGTGATCAACTAGCTTTTCAATGGAGTCAACATCATGATGAGGTGTTGCCAGCTAGCACAGTGAAGTGAAATATCTTTGCAACATTGATTTTCAAATTAAAAGAGCATACAGAACTTAACATTTTGTGAAGTTGATACAGCTACACAACTAAAGACTTGTACCAAACTTTGATTAGTCATCCAGTAAGTCATGTTTTGAATGACCCAGTGCCTCTGATAAATAATAGTACCTTTAAATAGGATTGTGTTGAAACTTAAATAATACCAATGATTGTTGTTAAACCCTTCAAAAATAATTTATAGCAGTTAATCAACTTAGAGTCTTCCCACTAATGTAACTTACATTTCTTGTAGTTGGAAGTTGTTTGTGTTTTTAGACAGATGTGAAGTTCAAAGTTAGAGTAAATATTATCTACCATTATTTTGTTCCTCAGGGAATGTAGTTATGATCAGAATGCATATGGGGCTTGGAGGGTTAATTTTGCAATATTCACCTGTTCTATTTTATTTTAATGAGGGCATGTTGCTGTTAAAAAAGTGAATAAAAAGTTGTTTCATAAAAATATTTTGTTTTTTTTTGTCTTGAAAAAATATTTTTAGAGCAAAGGTTTCATATCTTGCTTAAAGATCTTTCTAAACTCATTTTAAGACATCTCCCTCTCATTTTGAGAATGTTTTCTCAAAGCAAGATCGCCTGTTACTCAGCTCTTGATTTAACGCATTGTTTCTTAAATTAAGATGCATTGTTTTTATTCTGAGTTTTTAAGATCTTAAATCAAAAGTTCTTTCTAAACTCATTTTGAGACATATTCCTCTCATTTTGAGAATTTTTTCTCAAATCAAGATCACCTGTTACTCAGCTCTTGATTTAAGGTATTGGCTCTTAAATTAAGATGCATTGTTTTTATTCTGAGTTTTCAAGATCTTAAATCAAAGTTCTTTCTCAAGTCATTTTGAGACATCTTCCTCTCATTTTTTGAATTTTTTTCTCAAAGCAAGCTTGCCTGTTACTAAGCTCTTGATTTAAGGCAGTGGTTCTTAAATTAAGATGCATTGTTTTTATTCCGAGTTTTCAAGATCTCAAATCGAAGTAAAAAAACCTTACTTCAAGGATCAGCGAAAACACAGATTTTTGTAGTTTCAGTGAATATATATATAGACCAAAGGTTATTGTGCCACCTTCATATGTTTTTGTTTTGTTTTTGTTTTTGTTTTGTTTTGTTTTTGTTTTTGTTTTGTTTTGTTTTTTTTGTGGTACATTGCCCTAATTCTCATACAAAGAAGGAAGATGTCACACTTTTGAAGGGGGGGTAGGGAGGTGTATACCTTCTAGTTAGAGCTTTATGGGAATGTGCTGCTGGATGGGGGTTGCATTTTCACTACTGGATTGACTATAATGGAGTTGCATTTTCAGTAGAGTTACTAGCATGAGGGTCACACATTTTCAGGATTTGGGGGGGAAAGAAAATTCTGGTAAGGAATGATTTAAAAATGAGAAGATTTGCAGTTTAAAAGTTGATACTGCATTACCAAAAGTGACAAAAATAGGATGGGGGGGCAGTGACACACACCTGGCAAACATTGACCCAGGTACCATCTTTTTCCGGCATGAAGTCAAACCAGTTTTACTTCAGCTTGACCTTTAATTATCGCTGCACAGCGAGCGTAGTGAGCAAGCAGCAATATAATCAGGATTTAAGAAGAATATATAAAGGGTTTGAATTCTTGAATCAATCACTTTTTACCTGAATTAATTGCATTTAACCAGAGTGCACTGCATNAAACTCATTTTGAGACATATTCCTCTCATTTTGAGAATTTTTTCTCAAATCAAGATCGTCTATTACTCAGCTCTTGATTTAAGGCATTGGCTCTTAAATTAAGATGCATTGTTTTTATTCCGAGTTTTCAAGATCTTAAATCAAAGTTCTTTCTCAACTCATTTTGAGACATCTTCCTCTCATTTTTTGAATTTTTTTCTCAAAGCAAGATTGCCTGTTACTCAGCTCTTGATTTAAGGCAGTGGTTCTTAAATTAAGATGCATTGTTTTTATTCCGAGTTTTCAAGATCTCAAATCGAAGTAAAAAAACCTTACTTCAAGGATCAGCGAAAACACAGATTTTTGTAGTTTCAGTGAATATATATATAGACCAAAGGTTATTGTGCCACCTTCATATGTTTTTGTTTTGTTTTTGTTTTTGTTTTGTTTTGTTTTTGTTTTTGTTTTGTTTTGTTTTTTTTGTGGTACATTGCCCTAATTCTCATACAAAGAAGGAAGATGTCACACTTTTGAAGGGGGGGTAGGGAGGTGTATACCTTCTAGTTAGAGCTTTATGGGAATGTGCTGCTGGATGGGGGTTGCATTTTCACTACTGGATTGACTATAATGGAGTTGCATTTTCAGTAGAGTTACTAGCATGAGGGTCACACATTTTCAGGATTTTGGGGGGAAAGAAAATTCTGGTAAGGAATGATTTAAAAATGAGAAGATTTGCAGTTTAAAAGTTGATACTGCATTACCAAAAGTGACAAAAATAGGATGGGGGGGCAGTGACACACACCTGGCAAACATTGACCCAGGTACCATCTTTTTCCGGCATGAAGTCAAACCAGTTTTACTTCAGCTTGACCTTTAATTGTCGCTGCACAGCGAGCGTAGTGAGCAAGCAGCAATATAATCAGGATTTAAGAAGAATATATAAAGGGTTTGAATTCTTGAATCAATCACTTTTTACCTGAATTAATTGCATTTAACCAGAGTGCACTGCATCTCTTTTTAGCAGTGCCTTGTGGGTCTGTATTTAAAACAGTACTTCACTTAGAGCAGGCACAGGTGGTATGCGCAATTTGATTGCATTACACTGTGGTAGTGTTATTTTCAATATGGCTGTGAAAGTGGCTGAAATCAGCATAACCAAAATAACTGCAGAGATACATTTCTCAATACCTCTACCAAGGTATCCTTCATTAATTACAACTCTCCCCCCCTCCCTCCCCCTCAAAAAAGGAAGCAAAGATTCCAATTCATCTTGGTATGTGGTCAATGAACTAAACCTGCAATCCAGTGCTCAGACAGAATATTGTTTGTCTCATTTGAGGCAAGAAGGGTGGTCTTAAATCTTAGGTATGGAAACACCGCATGATTTGACACTAATTTAAGAAATAAAGGTTAATATAAGTCTTGGAATGTGCAGGTAAATGAATTACTGCATAAACTATGTCACTATCAACAGAATGTGTTGCAGCTGTACTATCTTTTAGATACCCTAGTTTTAAACTATAACATCAATAAAGAACTGTCATTAATGAATATGAAAGTTACCATATTTCCTCTAATAAGTACCCAGACTCTAATAAGCACCTTCCTCTAACTAAGCACTCACCCCCAAGGCTACAATGTCAAACAAGCACCCCTGCCTCCCTCCTCCCTTAATTTTGCAGGTAGTAGGGACATAAGGAAAACCTATTTCTATTTCCTCTTTATTTATACCTTTTTAAGTATCATCTATGTACAACAGAATCAGTACAGGGTTGTGTTGTTCAAAAGGGGATTAACATTAATCTAGGATTAAAATTTAACCTTGGCTTTAATTTCTCAGGTAGAAGAGCATGTCTAAGAGCAGAGGTTTTGTTGGAGTTTATCGCAATATATGCCTCAAAACTAATGGGAAGAAAATTCCAAACTAAGGAAAAATCCTTTGCAGAGCTATAAAGCTAAATTAAAACTGTAGACCAACCCAGAGATAGGTTAATCATGTTTTGAACAACCTGACCCAAGAGAATAGTTCATTTTTCGTTAAGTCATTTCCAGTCATTTTAAATTTTTCTCCATGTCCTTGCAGAATTCCTTTATGTGTGTCATCTCTTTATATTTTTGTCGTATTATTGTGCTGGCTTGGTAACTCCTACCCCCCACCTCTCCTCCTTTTGACTGAAGTAGATCATCTCAGCTGTACATTCTTGGATGTATGAAGCACTTGGGAGGTTTGGTGAGCACTCGAGGAGTAAGAGTTGTGCTTCAAGCAACTCTTGCTTATCTTTTTTATCTCCAAATTTCCCACTCATTTCCTGTCTTCATGAAAATGTGTTGATGTATGAACCAATTATTAATAAATAGCATGAGGAGTATTTCTCACCAAAACAAAGTGTGATCACATTACTATTGTTGCATAGCTTTTATAACCCTTTATTGTGACTGTAGTGGTGTGCATCAGAGTCACATCCCAATTTTGTTTTCTTTTTCACAGAGTCAAAAAATTATCCCTTGATTGATGAGCAAGCAATCTTTGCCAACAATGAGCTTGGCCTTCGTCACATTGAGGTGTATGGGTTTGATTATGATTACACACTGGCCTCCTACTCCGACACACTACACTATCTCATTTATGATCTGGCAGTGAAAGAGCTGATCTCTACTTATGGGGTAGGAATATTAAAATTATGCTTTTATATTAATTTCATCAGACAATCTGTGGTACCTATAACTAAGAACCATGATCTGAATTTTCAAAAAATGATCAAGTAGAGGATATGGTCTTGATGTCACGCCAAAAAATCAGTTCTAGCTAACAGAGATGTTTATCTAAAACTAAAGCAATGATCCTTGAGGATGAGCTGCAATTTAACCCTTTAACTCCCAAGATCTGATTGTTAATTCTCCTCTCTACCTGCAACATATTTCCTTGTAAACAAGTTATGAGAATTTGGTGTCAGATCAGGAGATCAATTTCCACTTAACAAGTTTTAGTGTTCTCAGTACCCATTTGTTGGATTGTGTATGGATAGTATAAGAAAAAGTTACATGTTAATCACTTCTGGGGATGAAAGGGTTTTAAGGAATAATTTTGCAGAAGAGAAACTTGGAAAAAATGCATGTATCAGTAGGATTGGAGGACTACCTCCCAGATACCAATTGGGCATTATTACTAACTAAACTATGAAGCTACATATGAAGCCACATGTTGAGAGGAGGGTGCATTTTAGAGGGTTCTTCTTTCCTCTGCAGGAATCTGATCATATTTTAATGAAAATTCACTGATTTTTTTTAAGGCTTCTTTTCCGCATTTGTTATTTCCACTTACTTGCAAGGATCTTTGCTTTAACTAATTTTAATCTACAGGTCAAATGAAATTTGTTGAATGAAAAATTACGATTGAAAAGAAATGTATGTTAGAAGAATTACCTGTTACATCTTACAAATAAGATAATTGGTATAATATCAACTAAGTTGAAATTGTAAATTGGCCACTGTAATGAATAAAAAAGCTGACGTTTCGAGTGTTAGCCCTTCGTCAGAGCGAATGGAGGAATTGTGGGTTGTATGTGGTTTTATATGTAGAAAGCGGAGCTATGCCACATCTTGAAAATAAGCATAATTATGTTCATGAGTGCCGTCTAAAATCTGACGTTGTATTGATCATGGAAAGTGACAGAAAGATATGCTCGTAGTCAACTGAGACTTGAAATGAAATATCTTTTATCAACCAGACCTCAGATATTAATTATGTATTGAGAGTACTGCGACAATTCTCACTCATATACTTGTCTCAATATTAAGCACTGGAAATTCCAGCTTATAAGCCCATCAGTTTGGGAAAACCTCCTTAAATGTTTTTTTTTTGTCTTAAATATCTTGACCCTCAAGCCTACCTGGCCTTCTTTTCCATAAAGGCTGATAGTTTCGAAAGAAACTGTTTGGGGCTGTGTCGGTGGGAGTAACGAAATAATTTGGATATATCAACAAAGTTGAAATGGTAAATTGGCCACCGTAATGATTACAAAAGCTGACAATTCGAGCGTTAGCCCTTCGTCGGAGCGAATAGAGGAATTGTGGGTTGTGTGTGCTTTTAAAGGCAGAAAATGGAGCTACGTTATTTGTGGTGGAAATCAGAGTCATCACTACAGATACTTGGGAAATTTCCGACAATTCTTTATCCTTTTTAGATGTCAAAGTTTCAATTGAAGGTAACGGTTTATGTACTAGTG